CATACGCCCAGGTTCAGCTCTCATGCGGCTGCATTGATTAAACATCAGCACAATTAGTTCAGCTAGTATAGACAGCGCTTGTGCGTTTTCTCTTTGTTCGCCTATCTTGTAAAATACACACTTAACATGTGTTTTCTGGGAGGCGATGTGGATTTTTAAATTAGTTTCCTCTGCTTCCTGCAATTACATCCGCCACACGCAGTTTCACGGGCTATTTTAATGGTAATGTGTTTCGTGTTTACCATATCACGTTCGTTAACATGTCGATCAGTGGTCGCCACGAATTTACAGTAGTGGCTTCCAGACACGCGTTAAGCAACAAATGAATTATCCGTTCCGAATTCGGATATTCGATTGTAGTAGAGAACGCAAAAATTGTTTTTGTGATTGAAGTGTTCGAAATAATGTGTTCTTTTCTATACAAATCGATGAATTTCAGAGCCAAGTTTCGTTCTTTTATTGCTCAGTCTATTGTTACAGTATTGAACTCCTTTACATTTTTGTGAAAGTATTAAGAAATAGATAAGAGATTTACAGACAATTAACTTGGGATGGGTTGTTGTACTTACTTCAATTTAATAAATATATCCTTTCGAAATGAAAATGATGGTTTAATGAAGAAACTATCAGCGCGTTCTGAAAATTTGTATTATTTCATACAATTAATCGTATTGCGGTTAGTAGCCAATAGACGAGATGGCTTCTGTGCTGTAACTAAAAACGTAATAACCGCCCGGAGACCGTGCGGTGACGTCCGCCTCTCCCACTTTGTGACGTCCGTAATTGAATGCAAATTCGCTTTCGGTTTTCCATGCCTCCTTCTTTCCCCTCTTTCTCGTCTAGATAATTCGTTGTGTTAGTTAATGTTAATTTATGTGCGGCGGGGCGGCGCAGGTTCGGGACAATTACCGCAGCTGCGTAGGCCGCGGCCCTTCGGGGGCTGACGCGCCCTTCGCCCTCTGCAGGTAGCGGCGCCCCCGCACCCTCGCCCCCACCCTCTGGCCGGGCCTTCCGGCCCTTCAAGGGATGCCGCCCGCCCGCTCGCCACCCCCCTCTGCACGTGCACGCCCGCCAGGCCCATGTGATGCGGGGTGGCGGTGAGGGACGAGGCACGGTGTGACTTCATGGCGGGAACCTGGTCACAAACCCAAAAATGTAAGTTTGTTGCAGCTCCAGAGAGGAACCAGAGCTGATCGTTGAGAATGACTTGAATTAAAACATTTCAAAATAACGATCCTTTGAAATAAAACGTTATTTATAAATTCATTTGATAACATTAACAATTTACTTATTTAAAAACATATATTAAGCGTTGCTTCCGATTTGAAATTACAAATTCTTCAAAAAGGCAAAATAGCACCACGTAAACAAATTCACTAAAAATACTTTTTAAGTTATTAAAAAGTCTTCCTTTCCCATTAAATATTATCTGAACTGCTTGTTTGGGATAGTTGATTATCAGTTGTGAGAAGTACGAAAGTACTTCCATGATATAGGCGTAACTGCCATTCGTTGATTAGAGCAAACTTAACTTATTCGCTCTTGTAGCATCACAGGAGAAAGTAAGTTTATTTACAAATTGTGGTAATGAAACAGTTTTTTACTGAATAACCTTTAATAATAGTCATCTCTCATGGTAGGAAGTGAAAAAAAATACTTTTTGGAGTTTTGACCGTATTTTTGACATTTGGTTACACCGTGTGACGCGGCGGTTTGTTGGAGCGGCGACGGTGAGCGAGGAGCGAGGGAGGAGGACCCGGGGAAATATTCTACCCTCTGAAGGGCCAAGCGGAGGGTCAAGCCGCACTGAGGAGGGTGCCCCCGCCATCCGGAGTTCCCATGGGCGCCGGCAGCGAAATTTTTTTGTTTTTCTCCCAGGAAAAGTGTTTTTGGTGGGTTTTAGGAAATTGTTTTGTAATTGAACGTCGCTTTTGCTAAGCTGAGGGCACTTGGTGGGCGGAAATAGGAGGAGGCGCCGTATTTCACGTTCTTTTGGGTCAGCCTGTTGTTGGCAAATACAAACTATCTCTGAATCATTTTTTCTTCTTCTTTTTTTTTTACTTTTACTTTTGTGTGTTGTTCTTGGTTATTTTGTTAGAAATAGTAATTTTCTTAAACAGTAAGCAGATTTTTAAAAAGTCAAAAAACTAGTGTTATTTTTTATATATATGTACTAGCGTATGTACTATTCGAACAGGTGCATTTGCAGGGTACTTTTTCTTCGGAGTGAAAGAACGTGAAAATACTATGAGCTAGTGAACACTAATATTACAAAGAATATTATTTCCGTGTATTAAAATTGTATTATCGTGTATACATTCTTAACGATAATGGATGGTCTTTATTTGTTGCGACGTACTGTAAGGAAAATTTAACAGTTATTTAGTTGTTTCAAAATTATTAATGTGTAAAAAACAAAACCAAAATAAAAGCGAAATTTTGCTATTTTAATACCCATTTTTATTGTAAGGGCGGTTTCGCACATTATAATCTCATCTAACGCAAATTTGTTTTTGTAAACTTTCCTTGTACATAATTTTAGCGTTTTCGCATTTTATTTAACATACCTATGTATTTTACTGGTACTCCACCATAAATTATTAGGAAATCGACTAGTATATCGCCACAGATAGTGAGTGTCACTTGTACCTGAAGACATTCAGAGACGGGTTACCCCCTCCCACAACCGCACATATGCTAGCATGCCGGACTGGCGGCTGGAATGGGCGACGACGCATGAATTGCTTCACGGCGGGAATGAACGCCACAGCGCAAAAACGGCTTTTACGATCCGCCGCTAAATTAATGTCGAAATAAACACCGCGCCGCTGCAAAATAAACACCAGGGCGCGTTGGTCGGTGCTCCGTGGGTTCCAGCGGCGGTGGGGGCGGGGACGATGGCGAAGAGGGTGTTTGCGGGCGATGTGCGTAGTGCAGCAGCCACCGGAGGGCGTGTCGTCTCATCGCGAATCGACGCTTCAACTGCGAGCGCTGCTTGAATGCATGTCCATTCCGTAATCATGTTTCAATGCCGTCTTTAAGGTTATGTTATTGCGTATTAACTGTTGATTGCATACGACGCATCGCCTGCGCTGTCGCATTATAGTACTATGTACTACGTATTGTGAATCGGTTGCATTTTGATTCATTCTATATGCGTTGTCCAGAAGGTTGACGATTGAGATGATAACGTCTAAAGAACCAATTTCGGAAGGGCGATTGTAACTTTTTTCTTCGTTCGATTGTTGAGCATTCTGTGGACGCTGCTTGCAGGCAAATTGCAGCCCGAAGCTTCACGACCTGGCATGTGGCCAGCGGATTAAATACTTAATTTTTTAGGAACAGTTTACTGTCTATATCTTTATGAAAGCCTCGTAGTTTGTCAGTCTAAAAATTTGGCGGAGAGCTTTTCCCCTAGACGCAGTATTTTCTGACACAGTCTTGTATTCTTCGTCTATTATGAATGAAAGAAGTTAATAAATAGAAAAAAATATTGAAACAATCGAATAGAAATTCAAAAATAATATTAAGTAAAATTATGTGTTTTTCTTAATTAGAAGAGAAGATTCTGAAAAGTACCTGATTGGAGTTTTGAAACACCGTGTACCAAATGCCATAGTGTAACAGAATTATTCCGATTATCTGTGTATACATTTACCGACTAATCATGTGCTCTAATATCATACAATGAAAGCAACAAATGGCACACATATGTAATGGTCCTTTTATGTGGAGTGTCGGACATTTAAGCCATATCTAGCAACAAACGAAATAAACACCGCGTTTTATTTTTCTCCATCTAGAGCCTTTCGTCCTTTCCTGCGCATTGTAATGAGCTGGAAAGGGAGCCGTCGGGGAATAAAGAACAAAATGGCGTTTGTGCTGGGAGGGGGAAATTCTACTCCTGTCTTCATCATCATTCCGCCGTTACCTCCACAACCATCGCCGGCACCAATATCGCCTCAGCCACCACCACCACCCCCACCACCCGGCACAAGAGGCAGCCACAGCGACGGCCCTCGCCCTCGTAACGACGTATCTGCGCATCTCGAACGCTCATCTAAACCACAGGGCGCGCTGTGAAATTTTCAGCGAAAATTGCGGCTGCAGCCTTCACGGGCCCCGAGGCACGCTAATACGCCGGGGACTTATTAAAACACACATTAGGGCGGAAGGGAAGGGAGAGGAGGCGGGCCATCGCAGCGGTCACTGCCCAGCGGTGTCGCAATCTGCGCCGCGGGAGCATAGGGCATGGGGATTTCAACGATGTCGGGCCCTTGTACCGGTTATCAGCTTGTTTTTTTAAAATGTTAATGTTTGACCACATCATTTTAATTTTTAAATGCAGTGTAGACACACGATGTTAACAAAGGCCATTTGCCAAAAGTTAAATTAATTGGCGAGTGGCGTGTATATTTGACCCCTTTACTTTCCAATATTCGGCACATTATTGCGGTTTTTCTTTTGTTTAATAATTAAAAAGACAATTACAGAAGTTGAATTCAAAGTTTTTCGAAATTTTTACTGCTACACCGTAGTGCGAATTGAAGGTATTAGTGTGAGCTTGATTAAAAAAAAATTACTGCAACGACTGTAACAAATGTGATTTTAATCGGCCTTCCTGATTTTTTTATAGACCTTAGCTCCAGACGCAACAAGTCTTTTCGCAAACGATGGCGATGTGAATTCTTTGGCATCATTTTCTACTTTGAATACAACATCTGTAACGAACCTATGATCCGTCATGTACTTATAATTTTAAACACTAAGGAGTAAAGGGCATATTTGTCTAGAAAATTAGATATAAATAATTTATAAACTTATTTATTTTTATTAAAGCATTCCTGACTATAAATATATAAATAGTTCAATTTCAAATGCCACATTTCCGAAGAATATTAGCTTAGTGTCTTCTAATAAAATGTTATAATATTTAATATTCTGACGAAATGTATCATACGTACACTCTGTCAATAATGGAAAACATTTCAGCTTCATACTCAGTATTAGACCGAGACTATGATCCCCTTTAGCTTCCCAAACATGTTACAAGCGAAAAATAAGGAATACATTTTTGTTAACAGAACAAGCAAAATGTTTCTGTTGTCGCATGTCATCCGCACGACCTCAGATCCAGTATCCCTGGAATTTCCGTGAGTCCTATTCATAAGAAGTTGGCGAATAGACATGTTCTCGATGATGTAATACAGTGCAGCCCTGCAACGTCTGCGAGAAAATAAACATCCATCAAAGGTCATTTCTTCATCTTGAGGCGCGTATATAGTTTGGAATGTGTTCTACCACGGACGTCTTGATACAGAGAACTCGAGGCTTAGTCATCAATCCTCCGGGATGCCTTATTTCCCGAATATATGTTTACGATACGTCTGTGGTACATTGGCACGATATAGTAAATAGAATACACACAATAATATACACACAATCATGGTTTAAGAAGATCGCAGTTGTACAAATATGCAGCTGTATCGTGGGTTGACCTTACAATAGTGACTTAATATTTGTTTATTAGTATCATGAGCTGCAAATCACTGCTAAAAGAGATATGACATACCGTACCAATAAGTAGGAAAGGCATAGAAATAGCTCAGCGATCGATGACGTCATGTATGTCCGTCCACTAAGAGGTAAACATCCATCAGATTGCACTTGTGCATCGGTCCCATCGGAACGCTTAGTGCGCTACCACGTCCATATAGCGAATAGGCAGCTCATTGATCCTTGCGGCAAGGAGCAAATACACGCCGCTTGCCGCCCCGCCGCCACGGCATAAAACACATAAGGCCCGCGCTGTTCGCCCCGCGGCGTGAATGCCCCGCGCGCGCTCGGTCGCGGCCCGGCAGGAAGAGGCCACGCCGGGCTCAGGGGGTCACCCGGGGCGAGCAGGTGGAGGTGACTGGTAATGGCGATGGCGGCTCTGTGGCGACGGCTGTGGAGACGTGGGAGTGGCACAGGGGAAGTGATAGCGCGACAAGAGAGGTGGTTATGCCAGTAGTGGGAGTAGGAACGTGCGGTGGCAAACATGTTGACGGCCGTGGCCGTGGCGATGGGCAGTGGGCGGTGGGCGATGGGCCGTGGCCAGGGCGAAACACCTATAGTGACGATGTGGTGTTCGGTGGGAGACGGCGGAGGCGGTGCAGTCCGCACACTGCGAGGCGAGGGTGGCTGTGGCGGTCACGAAACGGAAGCTAAAAAGCTGTTGTTTTACCGCTTTGAACGCTCCCGCAATTAGAGCTATAACCCCAGAGAACGACGGTTATCATAGGTACGGGGAGCGAAATTCATTGCATGCAATAGGGGGCGCAATAAAATGATAATGATATTAATAATGATATTAATAATGATAATAATAATAATAATAATAATAATAATAATAATAATAATAATAATAATAATTTGCTTTTCTCTAACTATACTTTTTGACAGAGGTGTTCTAGAGGCAAAGATGAATGTTTTCTTCTTATTGTTTCTTTACGCATGTACTACTTGTGGAATTTTGTTGTAACGTAAGCACAGTAAATCTACAGCTTGATTTGTGTGACGAAGAAACTTCAGGTATCAACTTTATTTAATGTAAAATGTCACAATTGGATACATTTTATTTTATTTTAAAGCCAAGTTCATTGAGAATGAACTTTATGTGAGGGAATATATAATCGAAAAATTGTGTTCACAAATTCACTCACTAATTTGATGTTGATATTCTTACAACGAAAGGAAACGACATACGGTATTCGTACTTCTGTTAAGTCCAAATCTGGTTCTCTCGATATGTAGGGGGGTGAGCCGAAAGGCGACGGTTGTAGAACGAATTGAAGCAGTTCAGTTGAGCCTCTGGCGCATTCCCTCCTCTCGGGGACAAGAATCTCTTTTCCTTCTGCTTTTCTCCCGAGAAGCAGTTCCTTCCTCCGCCCCGCGGCTGGCAGTGCACAGGAGATGCCGCCGCGCCGCGAGCAAACATGCCAGCTCTAGCTATTATTCACCGAACGCGTCGCCTTGCCTTGCGTCGCGGATCGGATCGGGTCGGGTCGTGTCCGGCTACTCGCGCGCATCAGTGCAAACACGCTGTCTCTCTCCCGGCGCGGCGTCGCCACAGGCCGCGATTGTTCGCCGCGCGCGGCTCGCAAAGCAAACATTCAGTGCTATTCATTGGGACGCGCCTCTCTGGAATCTACTCAGCTGCTGCCGTGGCTGCTACGACAGGGGGCGTTGGGATATGGAAGAAGGGAATGACATGGCCGCCTTTGGCAAGGTGTTGGTCTGGGGATGAAACGGAAAAGGACGATTATTCTGTGACTCTTCCTATTTATGTCAGGATGTGTAAGATTTTCTGGAAGTAAACTATTCAGAAGTAAATAAATGATGGTATTGTAAAATCTCACATGTCTCTTTTCCTTTGTAATTTTCCTAAAGTCAGTCCAAACTTCTTGTTTGCCTTCGGCAAGGCGTTATCGAGGCGTTACAAGGGATGTGTCGAACAAGAATAATTGTTGTTTGGCTCTTTTCATTTATGTCAAGATGTGTAAGATTTTGTGAAAATAAAAGTTTCATAAGTAAATAAGCGATGGTATTGTAAATTCCCGCATGTTCCTTCCCCATTCCCATTTTCCTTAAGTCAGTTAAAACTTCGTGAAATATACAATTTTATTCGGTAAGTATGAAGTATTTTTGAATTTTATTTCTTGTGAAGGTAATATCATTTATAGATTTATTATTGTCCCGCTAAGCGAGGAAGCTGCATGTTCATAGTTTAACCTCAAGTTTGAAAAGGACAAAGGCCGTGATCACGAGTCGAATTATGTTAGTTAATTCAACGTCACTGTCGTTGCATGAAGAAGCAAAACACTGAATGTCCCACTCCAGACGTGATGCTCATATAGATGTGTATGAAAAGGCGAATGACTTGGGGAATGCAGATTGTAACAAAATGAGCTTTCATTGCTGCATAGCGACTTTTGTTGTTCACCCCGCTCCATCAAAG